TTTTGGTGAAAACTTTATTGGATATGTTATCTAGGTTTAGCATTCGGGTTTCCTGCCCGAGTCTCCTTGACCTGTTTCCCGTACTCATTACTCGTTTCCACTAATATTAGTGATCGGAGCACTTGGAGTATAATCCATTTGACTTCATTTTTTTTTGTATTTTTTAATGAATAACAACAACTGTGCACCACAATTAGTCACCCCACTTCTCAACTCCCCGATTCCACAAGAGTGTAATTACGAGGTTATCAAAAACAAAAATAATTAGGCTCAAAAAGGGCAACTAGGAATAATTTGCAGAGAAAGAAAATGGTAGAAAAACACAATAAATGCTTTAATTATATACACAGTTCACAATTCTAATCGATTTACTTCATTGCAGACTCAGGGCAAGTTCTAATGAAACAAGAGCGCGACCAATGTATCTCAAGAAACAAATAAGGCTCAAACCTCACTAGGTAAATATATGAATGCCAATCAAAGTAATCGACCAAACATTTCATCACGCTATGACATATGACCAACATCACAACTCATCGAACTCATCAAACAAGTCTTAATTAATCTTGAAATCTCCAAAGTCCATACTCGCAAAACACACAAACTGACACAAGACAAAAACAGAAGATAAAACACCTAAAAAGAACTAGATCTGGTCAACCATGTAGACACATAAGCATGCAAAAACTCCCCCACACCTAAAACCGAACAATGTCCCCATTGTCGATCATTAGCGTTAGGATAGTTTACCCACATAATCAACCAACACGCAAAGACAAGGAAACTAAACCACATACAAAAATAAAGAGAAGGGAAAAGTACAGACGTACAAGGCACCGTGACTAGACTAGTCACTGTGAATCCGGAGGTGCTAGCGGAAGGTTGAGAAAGTCAGGCCCCGAACAGCGGCGGGAGTCCGACCCATCATATCTCTCGTCCCACTGGGACCGAGGCGGCTCCATGAAGTTCAGTTGAGGGGGAATTGTGCGGTGGTCGGTATCCCCTTCCTTCTTGATATAGTCCTGCAATGACCTCTTCGTGTATACTCGCATACACATTTCCTCAATAAGCTGCTCCATCGCCATAAGGGATGCACACTCCTCCAGTGAATTAACTGAAGAGTGAGATGCGAGCTGCCAGTGGACAGGAAAATATTTGTGTTATGTGTGACTGTTTGTGTGTGTGTGCGTCTGTGTTTGGGTGTGTGTGTGTGTGTGTGTGTGTGTGTGTGTGTGAGAGAGAGAGAGAGAGAGAGAGAGAGAGAGAGAGAGTAGTGTGTGGGAATGTCACATGTGAGATGTTGAGATTAGTGAGGTGGTTTATGAATGGGGCCTAGATATTTAAATGCAATTATTTCAGTTTGAAATTATTTTAACGGAAATTCCAACAAAAATATTTCGTTGGAATGAGTTTTCATTGGAACTTCCGTTAGATTTTGACGATTCTATTTCCAACGGTGGTGGAAATAAAAAATTTCAACAGAAATTGCATATTCCACGAAAATTCATACGGTCAAAAGCCCTTGGAAATATTGTCGTTGCAATCATCAAATTCCATCTAAAATTCCAATGAAAAATACATTACAATGCAATATTTTCGTTGGAATCATTCCAATGGAAGTTATACCATTGAAATATCTATTGAAATTTCCATTGAAATATATTACCATATGATTTTCCGTTGGAATATAACATTTTTTTTGTAACCACAATGCAACAATGCCTTTTGACAAAGTTAGCTTGACTGAATATATAATCCAGAATAAAATTTTCCTATATTATGTAAATGAAAAAAGTGCCAAATTCTCAAAATATAAATAATCCGATTGTAATGTCAATTAAGGTTTCATTAATCTCTATATCCAATTTCTGATTTAGGCAAAAAATAAAATAAAATAGGGTAATAATAATAATAAATCCTCCAAAATATTTAAAATTGCACCTCATAAAAATTGTTATTACGAAAAGGCACCCCCCAAAATATCTCCAACAGATCCCTCAAACAACTTGCCTTTCAAATTTGACCCTCCAAAATTCACTTACCACATGATTACAAAACTTTAGACCATATTGTGTGTAGAATCGAATGTCCTATTCACAGCATAATGTTCACAAATTACTTCATGTACAGCACCTATATAAACCAGGCCAATCCCCACATTCTTTCATGCAATACTAATTCTAAACAACACAAGAATTACACCTCAAAGAGTTCACAAAAAATTTAGAACAAGAAAAAAAAAATCTCAACACAAACATCATTAATTAATGGCTTTTGATAGAAATATGGTTAATAACTCAAAGGAAGTGAATCTTGATGAGGGCTCTCAGAATTCTCGTCCCATTACCATTAATGATATTCTGAGAAAGGTTTCACACATTTCCGATTCCTACGAGAAATCGTACGAGTTGGCTCTTCACATCCGCAAGTACGGAGACGAATTGAAAAAGGTCGAACAATTGCAGCGCGAGCTTCCTTTGAGCAAGGAGCTTTTGCAAGAGGGTATCATAAGCGCGCGCGCGCACACACACACACACTTGATTTTGTATGAGATCCTTTCATAAATGAAAATTTTCCTTTTCTATAGTTTGCTTTTAATGTTTGTTTCCAAAGGGATAGTGAGATTGGAGGAGGAGAAGCTGCAGTGTAAGGTGAATGAGAGTGATCCCAAAGGAGACGATTTGGGGGCGAAAATGTCAATGGACGATAAGAGCAATTGGATGCGTTCGGCTCAGCTGTGGACTGCGCCGGTCGAGTACGAAACCGGCCTCGATAACCTCCCGATTCCAAAACCGGTACGTTTCTTTTTTTTCAATTTAATTTTCTAATTTTACGATCTCTTTCTTTTTTTGAATGTTTATTTTCTCAATAAATATGCTCGGTTGAATCTCGTCAGAAGAGGGTACGCAGAGGCGGCAGAGTGGCATTTGCGCCATATAAAAACCCATCTCAACCGAGCAGACAAGAGGAGGGGGAACTACAGAACAAGTCGAGGCGGTGCTGGGGAATGGAGCTGCACCTCAAGTTCCTCGATGCACTCAAAATTCTGGGTGGAGCTTATGGTATGTATCGTTAAATTATCGACCACAATTTCACCATTTTTGTTTTTGTAAATTTACTCGATCGGAGAATCACTATTATATTACGATTTGGGAAAGAAAGTTAGGGAAATCGCAACGACGTTTTGTGATTGCGTAATTGTGTGTTTCGAACACGATTTGGGTATTGAGATTATTGGTGTACGGTAGATCTCGACAATCTGGTGTGTGGGTCTCCCCCTAACGGATTGCGCGTCGTAAATGTAACATAGCATACACCTATCGAACTTAATTTTTTTATATATGACATTCAATAGTATAAGTATACATTCTTATATTTTGCATGGATACTGTTGTAAAAGTGTGCATGGGCACTATTGCATGTATACTATGACTTGCATAATTTGTGAATTACACACACATCCAATTATTCTAAATTGAAAACACACCTTTTCTTCACTTACCATTAATTTGTTCAAATAATATGTGTTAATTATAATAAAAATAAAAATACATTCAAAAATATTTCATATATAAAAGTATCTAATTATTCAAATTTCATCTCAAATAATCTTCAACGTGTTGATTTTTTTTTTTTTATTTATTTTTTAGTTGCAACCCCGAAGCGAATTCGTGCGGTGATGCAAGTGAAAGGCTTAACCAATGACCAAATAAAAAGCCATTTGCAGGTACTCAATACAATTACAAAAATAACCCCGCTCATATACTCTAAACATACCACGTCCCTTTTATTTAGCAAAACCTCAAATAATAATTAAAGTAAAAATTTAAAAAACTACTTTTGTATTGAAATTTCAGAAATACAGGATTCACCTAAGACGGGAGCAGGGGAAGAATTCATCGGCTGGAACCTCGTCTGGTTTGCAATGCCTCAGCGACTCTCAAATGGGGACAATTGATGGCTCCTCTCAAGATCTCGACTTAGTCGATCATGGTATCGATTATGATGATGATGTCATGCAAGAAAATGAGCTACTCACCTCTGAAGGCGACACCTTTAAGGGAATGCAAGTCGAACGTGATTAGCATTTCCCTTATTTTTACCCGTGATCTTAAATCCGCGGAGGGTTTAAGGTTAGAGTCTCTGTCGGTTTATTTTTTATTTTTTTTTAGAGGCTATAAGGTGTCTAATCATATATTTGTGGAGTCTATGCTATTGTACGCCAAGTTCATCATCCGTTTCTTGGTATGTTTGTGTCATTTTGTGTGATTTTGAAGTGTTGGGTACTCTTTTCCCTTTCCAAGGTTTTACCCACCCTTGCAGGGTTTTACTTTGAAAGGTTTTAATGAGCTAGGCCCATTTGTTTGGTCGACTTGTGATCAACAACTATTATCATTTTACATTTGAACTTCTATTAATTATTTTTGAGAAACATTATTTCTTGATTAATTATTTCATGATCCCAAGTAGTATATGATGTGCCCAAAATATCGATCAGTTCACTAAGATTTTCGGTTGAACCACCTCGTCTCGAAGGTCTCGAACCACGAAGAGGGCCAACCTGCAAAACAGTGTCGGGGACGGCTCTTGAGAATCGAGGTTTTGGCGCCCAACCACGCATACAAGAGGGTGCGATGTACACGACAGTTTAGGCCCGCACGGGGAGGTTCGTACGGCAAAGGAAGGTATCGTTGAGCAACAAACTGCGCGAGACAACGTGGGTCATCGAGGCAGACGTCGATGAGGCAAACTGAGGAGACAGCGCGAGGACGCACGCAACAACAGACGAAGCGAGCCAACATACATGCAATGGAGAAAGCGCGAGAAGATCACGAGATAACAACTCCTCACGACGTAGCAGCAGCGGGGCGCGCGCAAGCGCGATGCAGGCGGCGTCGTCAATACAAGTTGGGTGCGACGCGGAGCAGCGAGCGAGAGTCTCGCGCGGAGGCAAGAACACGCGCGAGAAAAGCTCGCACGAGGGTGAAGGCACCAAAAGTTCACGCGAGGGCGCGCACGTAGGGGTGGCCAAATGGCGGGCCGGTCACGATCCTGGCAGACCCGCCAGGCCTCAAAACCTGGGCCAGAATAGGGGTGCAAATGAGTCGAGCCGCTCGTGAGCGCTCGAGTCAAAGCTCGGCTCGAGCTCCAGTTTGACTGAACTCGAGTCGAGCTCGAGTTGTGCGCGCACAGTCAGTAGACCACTAGTATATATATATATAAACATGGTCAGTCAACAGACCGGGTCCCGACCCGATCCCAAACCGCCGGAACCAAAAAAAAAGAAAAGAAAATCAGACTCAAAAACGACCCGTAATGCCACGGTGCCGGTTCTCGGAACGGCAATCTACATGCGTAATGGGCCGCTTGCGGGCCGCGCCGAGCCGGGACTAGGACGACGGGCCGGCCCATGGCCATGTCTATATATATACTGTAAAATTAGGGTCAAACGATATTAATTGCCACCAATAATGGGGAGAAAGAAAAAGGGAAAAGAAAATTATCACATGGATCTTATAAGTCTAATCAGTCTTGTTATCAAACGGTAGTGGATTTAGATTATTGTGCTGGGAACCGTACACAATTTTATAGTGGTGAAAACTAACACATCGATTAGTAGTGAGTGCTTATCTTAATTAATTATTTTATCGAGTGTCAACACGGCATTTCCTCAGCCAGTTGCAACTCTACAAATCTTACACAAGGGAGTATATAATATGGCGGTTCAATTCTTTTTTATTTTCAATGAATTGCTGAAAATTAAAGTCAAAGAAAAAAAAAAAGGGCAATAATTATTAGCACTGAGGCCAAATTCCAAAATCACAATTCACGAAGTCAATCTCATTTGTTGGAATACAACTTTGAAAAATAAATCACATTGGAATAAAATTTGACAAATCTATATATAAGTGGGCTTCATCTGAATTTTTCATGTCTTGATGCGTTTCGTTTATGTGGGACGACACCCATTTCTCCCGTTTCTTACATAGTTGATATAGGTATATTGAAGGTGGACACAAAAATTTACCTAGATTTATTTAGCATGTTAGATAAAATAACATAGTTGATATAGGTATATTGAAGGTGGACACAAAAATTTACCTAGATTTATTTAGCATGTTAGATAAAATAAAATAGATAAATAAGAAGAGTGGGCTACAAATTTTCATATATAAAAAAAATAACAATAATAATAATTTGTATCAATTTTTATTTTATATTACTCCCTCCTATTCATTATAAATGTCGTTTTGACTTTTTTGATTCATCCATTTTGTTATGTATCTAGACATATTAATGTCTAAATACATAATAAAATGGATGAATCACAAAAGTCAAAACGACATTTATAATGAACAGGAGGTAGTATGTGTCACTCTTATATTTAAATGAACGCAATAGTCTAAATTACGAAAAAAAATATACCGATTCATCCAAGATGAAATGTACTCCTCACAAACTTGTCTCCTTTGATAGAGTTCCATACGATAAAGAAAATAAAATTACTCATAACTTTACGTATATTTCACAACTGCTAAAACATTTTTTTTTTTTTTTTAATTTCACTCTCACGCTCTCATTTTCTCCTTTGTACGCTAATTATCCCTGCCCTTAATTTGCTGCAAGAAACACATTAAAAATATTCAAATCCATATATAATATACATGTCTAATGATTAGACAATCATATTTTTTTTTCAACACATATGCATACTTTGAAACTAAACTATCAAAAACAACGTAAATAAAAGTATAATATAAGTACGCATTTTTATTGTAAATTTATAACGTCTCAACCCGCCTAATGGTTAATTCGTTTAAATAAGAAAATTTGTGATCCTATTGATCAGATACAATTGTATTTTCTTTTTATCGAAACGATAGATATCAGTACTAGAACACATAATTATAACCGAAGAGTAAATACAATGAGGAAAAAAAAAAAATAGTTGCAATCATGGTTAATTAATTGATTTATAGAAAGCGGCTGCTTAATTTCATGTGCATTGCTGCACAAGTTATATTAATTATAAAATAATCTGCTAAAAGTTAAAAGTAAGATAAGGTGGAGATCTAATTAGGAATGCCCAGTAAGAAAGGACAAATTTTTTTTTTTAGCTAGAAAAATTCAATACTTAGTACTTATTATTATTAAAGAACCAAATGGGTGCTATGAAATTAGACCTAAGATTCGTGTAATAATTTTGCACCCAGACTTGTCCGTTTCCATCTAACCTTACAAACTTTGTATTTATTCAATAAAATACTTTTTTTAAAATTAAATAATTAGGTTAGATGTATTATTTTCACAAATATTATATTTTTATTACAAAATGTCACACATCGAAAAACAACATACATAAGCAAAAATATGACATTTCGTAGTATATACGTTATTTTATTATTAAATAGTATGACGGGTCAATGCACGTAATGTTTAGACAAAGTCAGTCGATGATTTACGTTCTTCATTTTGATCTTGAATTTTTCTAGAACAAAAAATAAAAAGAAAAACAAATATATTCATGAGATTCTCACTTTATTGAAGAGACTTCATGGGAGGACCAAACAGATCTATACAATCACAACATAGTCTCTACCTAAGCCAATTAATTTATACTTTTTCTTAGAGCTAAAGAGTTTGGCGGCATTTATGATACATTAGTGCTACTTCTGCAAATGAGAGAAGGTACCTAAATATGGTTGATATTCACACTCTACACACCCCCACAAAATATGCAGAAGACTAACCGAGTCGAGCTAAGCTGAAGCTTTTAATACTCGAGTTTTGGCTCGAGCTAGTTCATAAATTAACGAGCTGAAGTCGAACCTTAACAAACTCACTTAAAGTTACTAGGAAAATTAGGTAAAACCCATAGTCTAGCTAGACTTGTTAACTAAATAATCGCGAATTTGGTTTCGTTCTCTCAAACGAGACAAAACAGGACGAGCTCGAGACTTATCGAGCCAAGCTTCCGTGCGACTTTTTTGGCACTACACTTATTATTAAAAAGGGAAAAAAAAAAGAAGGAAAGGGAACCTAGGGTTTTTTTGATAGGGGGGGTGAGGAGTTATGATTACTGAACAGTGACATGTCCCTGGCAGTGACAAGACAATAATTCCCATAAAACCAACCACCCTATCTATCCCAACACCCACTAAATTTTGCCCTTTTTTTCTTCCTTTTCACCAACAAAATCACCCCATTTATGTTTAAAAAAAAAAGAATAAAAACAAAGGAAAAATCTGATCTTCAGCATTCAATGCGGATGAGTGATCATCCATCACTACTCAGACTAGACACAACACAAAGAGAATTTAATGACAAGACAAAAAAAAAAATTAAATTAAATTAAAGCACGCACAGATTGATTGACTATACTTAGCACGAAAAATAAATCCCAACTTAATCGGAAAAAAAAAAAAAAAAAT